TAACTGGAGGTAAGAAGCATCCTTGCTTTGGTCAACTCTGTATGCAATCCAAGCTGTACTCATAGTGAATAAAAAACAGAGATTATCTTCTTTATTATCACACACATGACTATGGTTCTCATTCATGCTTTATTACCATGAAGAATGATAGAAAATAGCCAAGGATCTCTGAACAAACTTGTACCTATTGTTTAACCTAGGTCTCTTGGAATAAGTCTCTGATTTCTAAATTGATTTTTACATTCCCTGGTGGTATTTTCAGTTGTATATGTAAAAGGGCATCACAATTCATATTTTGGAAATATATTTTTTTTCACAGATTAAAATTTGCAATTTATTTAAGTTTTATAGTTTAAAATTGATGAAATTGAAAATTACAAATATAAAACAGCATATACAAGCAAAAAAGATCAAAGACCCAGCTCACAAATGTACACTGCCCTGCAAATTAGTATTTTAAATTGTAGTTCTTGTGCTTAAAGACTATATAATCTATACATTTAAAAAGATGATTACAAGTGGCCAAAGACAATATACTGATAAAAGGCTATATCAATATTTAGGATTATAAATATTCCAGAACCAGTAAGAAGATGAAAGGAGAATGATTTGAAACCTGAACTGCAGTTGTAAAAATGGGCTGGAATTGAACGTTGATGGCTACTTAACCAGTTATCACTCAGTATCTGTCATTACTGGAATGACCAGGTATTTAGTAAATGTTCTGTGTACAGCCCAGGGCCCACACAATGCTTTTCCCTCCACCTGAAATGTTTCCTTTATGCTCCAGCCCATTTTGCTTAGCTATTTCTGTTCACCCTCAAGGTTTTAAATAAAATGTCACTTTTTCCATCTAAGCCATCCTTCTGCTCCAGAGTAGGTTAGCGATCCATTACACTTTCTCATCATACCATGCATTTTTCTTCTATTGCAGTTATCAATTCTATGGTCAGATATTTACTTCTTCAATTATATTTTAACACTTATCTCTTGCTAAAAAAAGAAAGAACCCAAAGGGGGAAGTTTAGATATATTTTGATCGTTATCTAATACAATATGTAATCAGTATTGGACTCTTGATCCCTGATATCAGTGAAAGAACGAGCCAGGCACAGTAGATACCGAGGGAATAAAGAAGAGAGAGATTGGTATAAGTCTGGAGAATGTGCAACATGACAAAGAAGAGGAAGCATCCATAACCACTTCGCATTTTTAGGGCTAGCTCTTCCAGAAAAGTTTTAAAAGGAAAGGTTTTCACTGAGGAGATTTATAGCCTCCCTGACTTGTGAAGATCACTTTGTCCCACAATGTATAATTCAGGCTACTTAATATAAAGCTGAATGGCTCCACTACAACATCTACTTGCAGATTTTAAAGAATTATGAGACGAATGTCTTTGGTAGAGTGAATGCATTTGAAGCACGGTACCCTTAAAATGAATTACAGCTTGGAATGGTACTCTGGGGAGAGTGGAGAGATTAGAAATGCTCTTTGTTCTTTGATATTTTTATCCTCATCCATATGTAATTATTCTTCTCTTTTGTCTTTGGAATTATTGTATGTGCCTCTCAGCTTGTTTAGTATATGACAAGATTAAAAACTGTCGAAAATAACCAGCGATTATAGGCATTTGCCATTTTATGAAGCAAAAGAGTAATTAACAGGCTTTAGAACACTGGTAATTTTATTATAGGATGTATTTCCTAGTATTAATCACTCTATGTAAGTCACTGCATCTCTCCATTGTGGTGGTTTTAATAGTATTGAAAGAAAGAACTGGTTATTAAGAAATACACATGTACGCTTGTGTGTATGAATATAAACCTAAATAGAAAAATTACCTTTAATGAAGGCATAAGAGATATATAAGTTGCTTAAAGTGAATTAGGAAAACTGATCTTTTCTTGAAAGAAAAATAAAAACTTGACTAAAATGTTACCTATGATTGCAATGTGAAGTGAAGGTTTGCTTAGGGAAGAAAATGTCTTGGTGAGTTGAAGTTCCAACACGCTGGGTTCATCACACCGTGCCTTTGCTCGCTGATGGATGCACACAGCAGCCATTTCAGTCTGGCTGCTTCAGGAAATGCAGCCAAGCTATCAAGTGTCCCTGAGCGAGTTTCTTTTTTCTTCTTCTTCTTATTGAGTTTATTGGTACATTCTAGGTATACAGTACAGTTACATTCATTACTGGGATCTTGTACCTTTACATGAGTTTCATTTCTAGACCATAGAGTCTCTTAGAAGAAGAGGTATTCAGTGGAAGAATATTTTCTTCTTGTTCTTATTCTCCTTCTCCTCCTATTTGTCTTCTTCTTCCTTTTCCCTTTTTTTACCCCCTGTACTGGGGATTGAACTCAGGACCTTTCGCTTGTGAGGCAGGTGCAGGGAGCTAAATCCCTGTTCCCTTCCTTCTTCTTTTAAGGCACGTATAAATAGTTCCTCCTCTTTCAATTCAAGTGATTAAATATCACATAGGTATATGTCACATCATCTATATCATATATAGTATCATGTATACTTGAATCATTTAAGGATATATTCACCAATGAATTATGTCTGACTAACAATGGCTTGAAACAGTTAAAATGGGTTTCTTGTGGGACAGTAATTCTAAAGGAAGGTGCCACAGGGTGACTGTAGCTGTTTGAGGAAGTCATCTCCAAACCAGGCCACTTCTCGCTTTATACCCTGCCATAGCATGTGACGTTCATTTTCACTGTCTCAAGACAGTCGCTGCACTTCCAAATAACACATCCACCTTTCAGGCGGACGTGGGGAGAAAAAGGATTTCCCTCCACAAGCCTCTCCCGGGGGAGGGAGTCTCTGGTCAGGCACTGTTGTCTCAATGTTATTGGCCAGAACTGCATCTCCAGGCCTCTTTGCACCTGTAAGATAGACTGGAAACTTGAGAATTTTATTTTTTCAGCAATTTGGAGAGGAATCCAAAAGAGAAAGGGATTTGAATGAGTGTTGACTGAGGCATTTTAATGGAACTGGCCTCAACCATGTTGAAGAAGTCTCACTTTCCTATGAAGTAACACGGGTGCCTAGTGAGGGTTGATAACGGACAATTGCTCTAGTTACTCCAGGTGTGAAACAAACCACCCAGAATTTAGTGGCAAAACCGGCAGTGTTTTTGAGCTCGCACATTCTGTTGGTCGGAAATTCAGACGAGGCATGCATGGTGGGCAGTGCTCGACTGCTGTGTCGTGTCTGGAGCCTCAGCTGATAGTGTAATGCAGGTGACTGGAGGCGACCTTCATCACAAGGAGACTGGGCTCTCCTCGGCTGCTGAAGTCCCACGTCTGGTTCTGGGCTGTGGTGTTTGATTTCTGGGCCTGCGTAGGGCTGTTGCCAAGAGCACCTACCACGGTATTCTTCTGGGGCTGTTGTCAGCATGCGGGCTGGATTCTGAAAGAAAACGCTCAAGAACAATTCAGCCAAGAGACCCAGGCAAAAGCTACATGGTCTTTCATGATGTAGCCTTGGAAGTCACAGTCACAGATTCAAAAGAAGAGCGCAGAGACCACTTCTTCTCAATGGGAGGAGGGCCAAAGAATTTGCCCTTTAAAAAACGGCCACACTCACCGTGATGGAAATAAATGTTGAAGACAATTTTTAGGAACAACTTTTCTTTAACTTTCCGTCTTCATTTTGCAAATGTCTTCAGAAAAGACTATGTTAAATCTTTTCAAGCAAGCTTCTTTCCAGTGTTTCTGAAGGATATGTGAGCTGTTTACCTACTAGGCAGGAGACAGCAACCCGAAACGAAGCTCCCCAGTCCCCGCCGTGGTGACAGGTTAGCAAGCACATCCGGGACAGTGTGACAAGCAGCACAGTGTGACAGGCAGGACAGTGTGAAGGGCACATATCCTTAAATGTTCTTAACTAATCCTGCCTTCACACCAGATGGCTGTCCTGTAAAGAAACATTTGGGTATTTTTCTGTATGTAAATTCTGCATTGTTTTCCTATTTCCCTTGTGGTTTGAAATGTGTGACTTGTACTTGTACCAAAGTATGCAGATATAAAAGTTAGCTCATTAAATGACACAGTGAGGTGGAACCCATGAAGGCTTTTGTCTATGAAACAAGCAGTGGCATCTTGTGATGGCTTTTACCATCCAGGGAAAAATCATACCATTTCCAAGCCAATTAGGTCTTAGGAGCAATCACATAGGTTAGATACCATTTCTGGTTACAGAAAAAAAAATTTTTTTTCTTACCGTTAAAAAAATTTTTTTGCAGGAAAGTGTAGTAATTTAATTTTGTCCCTGATACTGACAGTAGAACTCTGAGTAAATTCACAGAGCCTGCTTTCAGCTTTTCTTTCTCCTATGAGAAATGGAGATAAAAGTGCCCATCTCTAAGAGTCACTTTGAGGACTAAGTATATACTCTCCCCAAGATATTGCTCTTCTCTTGAACTCTTGCCCTTCTGCCTCTGTCCCAAATGATTTACCACCCATAGGTGCCCAGAGAACTTTCTTCTTCTTGAGAACCATCTGTGAGCTCATTAATGCTGAAGTCAACTACTGCTCCAGTATGTTCCCAAACGAAGCTCTGGGCTTCTCCCTGTTCTAGGTCCTAACATTCAGCAATTTGTTTCACAAATCATAAGTGGAAAATGGTTGGGTGCCACGGTCTAGAGTGTAGAAGTGAAAAAGCAAATCAGATCGCAGAGGTCTCTTGCCCTTCTGTTTTATACACTGTAAGGGGACAGAGGAAAAAATCCCAATAAGCAAGAATAAACAGAATTTCACAGAGTGACACAACTAGAAAGAATGCAAGAACATGGCAAGGAATGAGTGACTCTTGAGGTGACAGTGTTTTAAAACAAAGGTTGGGGAAATTCTAGCAAAGGATGTGGAGCTGGAATTGAAATTTGAAATGTGAGAAGTAGCGAGACACATCATTGCGCACTCTGTGCATTAATTCATTTTATTTTCACAACGGCCTCTTCAGGCAGCAGTGCATCTCATTCTCATTCCTGTTTTACAGATGAAGAGAACAAGGTAGAAGGGCAATGCACGTTGAACAAGATTTCAGAGCTGGTGCTGAAGCCTGACAAGCTGCCTTCAAAGGCTGTACTCTCAGCCCCTCTTCCATAACCGCATCTCAAAAATACTTGGTTATTGCCTTCACACTGACACAGTTCTTCTACTGGCTTATGAATTATTTGAAAGATAGAGTTCAGCCCTAAGAATGATTCTCAGTTCTTAAAGTATTCTGTATATAGCCTCAGTTCATGAACACTTTTGTTCATGAACAGAAGCATTCAGCAAAATTTTGCCTCCATTGACAAACTGCATCAGGTGAGGAACTTGATCGCTGGCATCTTCCCCAGAATCATGGGATGAATGAGGTTTGTGAACCGAGGCACCACTGTATCGACCAAATGTATATATGATTGCAATGAGCAAACACAGGAGAAATGAAAGGTCTCACTCAGTACTTAACATCAGAGAAGTGATTAACACATCAATTCTTTCTTCTTCTCTAACATTCCCAGATAAACTCACATAACCTGCTCTTACACCTGAAGTAACTAGATTTACAGGGCAAGGGTGGGGCCACCTTTATAACGGATCAAAAAAATTTAAGAAAACAAAGTCCACTAGTTAGCAAAAATGGAAAAGAGTAATTTCAGTGAGTTCTGAGGAAAAAAAAACATGCAAGTAAGGAACACGTAAGGTAATAAGTTTTCTCCTGCCAGCGTAAAAATGATGGTCTCTGTGCTTTAAAGCAGTAACTTGGAAAATTTCCACAAATAGACATTTTGAGAACAATATGTGGAGAAATATGAAGTTAGTTCAATGTCTTTAATAGGCACTTACTTCAAAGGCTTAAGGCCTTAAATCATTTCCACAGCTTTTTGACTGTTATCACACCCCACAAGATGTCACCAGAATCATTCCTTTACAGATTGTGAAACGTCTCAAAGACAAACCAGATTTTGCATGAAAGTAAACTGTGTCTTCTACTTTAGACACGTTTTTCAAGTCAGTACCAAGCTGCCTCCTACCAAAGAAGAACTTAGAAGTGCTGACTTTTGCGGATGACTTCTCTTTGTTTGATTTTCACCCTACAGGATTCTAGAATCCTGGTCAGAGGGACATTTAAGGATACCAGGTGGTTTTGAAATGCTTGGTTGAGTTGGGTCACCTATCTGGGGATGAATATAATGTTTGAATAACATTCTGTTTGAAGAAAGTGAATATTTTTACAAGAAGATTCAAACACTGCTCTCAGCAGTAATCCTAACCTGCCTGCTGCTGAGAGCTGTTGATGGAAACCAATGGCGAGTTTAAGAAGAAATTGAGGCGTGATCCTCCACATATTGTAATCCAGAGCCATGCTGAGTCTCTTTCTGGTTATGAGTGGGCAGTGTCACAAGTAAAAGCCACATGTCTTATGCAACTTTTTTCTATAATGTGTGGCTTGCCTCTAGAAGATACACGGAAAAGTTAGTAGGTGCTCCCACAATGTTGGGGGGAGACCACTTTGCTAAATGAGTTGCTTGAAATTGGCACAGTTAAAAGACAAAACAGTATTTTATCCACACAACAGATCTATTTATGGCACATATTTATTTTCTTTCTTTTTACCAACGATCAAGCTTGGGACCTTGTGCTTGCAAGGCAGGTGGCAGAACCACTGAGCTGAATCCCTGGCCTCACATATTTATTTTCCACGGTCAACTCAATTTGTAACTCCAAAAGTAGAGAACTGAACCTACTGTGCACTATAGTAGTTAGGCACAAAGTCAGAAAAAGGAAGAGGGAAGCAACTTGCTATGGCCTAATTTTGCTGACAGTGTATGTGGCAGAGATGAGAGACAGGTACACAAGTAATGACCAAATGCAGTTGAGATTGGGCAGCTAGAAATAGTGTAAAGAAAATCCACTAATTAATTAGTGGATGAAAGTTACAAATGCTTGCTCCAGCTAAAATTCTGGACTTGTGTATAATAGTAACACAAGAAAATTTAAATACCAATGGCCTGAACAGTCAGCTTGTTATGCCTAAAAGGAAAATAAATAGTGGTTCTTGTGTTGCTGTGTTATTAACTTGGAAGAGCGTGACAAAGGAAATCAATTTCTGCACATGCTAAATGCAGTTAATGGTTCAAAGGACATCTGGAAACGTGAGCAAGTGAAAGGGCCTGGCTGTACATCAGCTTTCTTATTTGCATCCATGCCTTAGGTTAGGAAATGCAGAATGGTAGACAGCTGTGACAGCTTTCAAAATGCAGACTGAACAGCAGGTGGCAGCAAAGGACACTGTAAGAGAAATTGACTTCCATCAACCTACTGGGGAGCATTCTAGAAAACTTCTCATTTTGTTGAGTTTCAGGTAGAGAAGGCACTAGAGAGTGATTGCTTTCTTACCCTTGACTAAAGAATATGATATAAGATGAAAGGTATCTGGGAAGGTTGATCATGATAACCAAGTTTAAATACTTTTCTATCATTTTAATCACCTTTTGAATAAATGAAAGGATTGAAAAAGCTTACAAAAAACACAAGTATCCCACAACAAAGCCCAACTAATCCTCTTACAAAATGGACATTCATGCTGAAGAGAGATTTTATAATAAGTAATGACATGTAATATTTATTATAAATATTGTCATTCAGACCAACATGGAAATATGCCAGTTGGAAGGTGATTTGTCTCTTGGCTCAGAAGAAATATTAATGGAAGAATATTAATATTCTTCAAAGGAAGAAGAATGTAAGTAAAGAAGGCATTAAAGCATCATTAACTAAAAATGGGCTCTTTGAGTGTGTGACAATCGCATGAGGAAAAATAAAACAGCAAATATCCCTGGGATCTTTTTATAAATACCCCAAAGCAAGGATCATGAAAATACTATAAGGTGAAGGATGTGCATTAATTTGGTGGAAGGGAAGGTTACTAGTAAAAGGGGAAATGTGACGGTTTTTAATATTTATAATAGGAGGATGGCTATCTCAGCAGATAAGAGATAAATATGAAAGGCAGCTTGTCGGTTTCTGAAGAAGCCAAAGTGATGATCTTAAAAAATCAGTTTTGAAGAAGTCCATCATTGGCTATAGCTACCTGATGAAAGAAAGGCACAGAACCGAATGACTGATGGTTTTGGAATTATACCCATTGTTCTCCAAATCCCATTTTAGCTCTAGTATACTGTCTTTGATGTGGAGTAAGTTATACAATTTCTGGGCCACAGTTTTCAGTGTGTAAAGTAGGCATGTAAGACTACGCCTGTACACATTAAATGAGACAATATATCAAAATGCTTGCACCACATGCATTGCATCCTAATAAATTTTATTTCATTTATCTCTTCAGAAACATTCTTAAAGATGTTGTTGTATTTTGAGGAACGGCTCCAAACATTTCCCTTATCAACAACTTCAGTGTCAAAAATCCAGAGTTGCAAAGTTCCCGCCCTATGTGGAGACAAAGTACATCAGGGAGGATGCATTGTCGCCATGTGAGCAGAAGCTGACATTTAACTATAGAGCAGAATACACGACGTAAAGATGGCTTTGCTGTAGCTCCCAGTCCTCTGCTCTAACCACAGAAGACTAACTTCACTTGAACTCCGTTTTCCTAAGAGAGACTTTGACTTGTCACAAATCCTTGTAAGATTCATCTCTTTCTAGTCAGTTGAAGTGAAGTAGAAGATAAGGGTAAAGAGGGTCAAATCAGGTGGCAGAGTAAAAACACAGTTGTCCAAGTTCGGGTCTGTCACTAAGACGGAAGTCTCAGGTGGGTGCCATGAAACAGATGCTTACCTTGCCATGGGTGTTCTGCACACGTACACACACACACACACACACACACACACACACACACACTCACACGGTCACATGGTCACATGCACTTCTTCACATTCTTTATGTTTCACTCATACCAGCATATGGATTACCTAAATGAAGGCAGATTATCTGTGAACAGTTATTTTACTTAAACATTACAAATCAGAATTTAAAAAGTAGTCAGAAACAGTAACATGTTTTTGAACTAGGTTGCTAAGAAAACTATGAAAATCTTAAATATCAGCTGCACTTCAAAGCAAGTCTCTCTTTTTTTTTTCCTCATTGAGTTTATTGGTACATTTTAGGTATACAGTACAGTTACATTCATTACTGGGATCTTTTACCTTTACATGACAGGTCTTGGTTCTCAGTTTTCCCCTTGTCCCTGCCCTCCCTTCACCCCTCCCCATTTACAAACACTTTATTTTCATTTTTTCATTTTCTCATTTCATAGCAAGTCTCCTGATACTTCTTAGGCCTGTCTTTTTTTTTTTTTTTCTACCAGGGATCGAACTCAGGACCTTACACTTGCAAGGGAGGAGGTAGAACCACTGAGCTACATCCCAGCCCCTCTTATTTCCTAGGAAAGAATTCACAAAGCTGAAAGCATGGTGGAAAGAAGCCACCTCCAAAGTTGCTGGGTGAAGGCTGGGTCTGAGCAAGGTCAGTGTCTGGCTGTGCAATGTTCATACTTAATGTAACCCTAAAAATAATTCCTCCTTATAATTAAATAAGAATATGTAGTGGTTGATATTTTCTCTTCTAGTTTAAATATTCTAGTGATGCACTGTATTGATGTTAATGCAACTATGGAGCATCTCACTCCAATATGAGATGGTGCTTCTTGGTCATGGAGGAAGTGAAGACATCATATGCTGTTGCTGTTTACCATCTTTTCCAGGTTTCTTCCAGGCTCTCCATGTCCGGTCATTGGGTGCTGGCCCGGAATCCTCAGCCTCCTCTGCCGAGGTGGCTCAGGAAACTCCACTGTTCGGATTCCTCAGAACTAAAACCAGAGAGGTCTGAAAGGGCAGTCGGAAGTCTCTGTTCAGCATGTACCAGAGGCCCAAATCTCACTTCTTTCTTTTGTCCTTCATATCAGTTCATTTCTGGAGACCATCGCAAAACTCAAAAATACTATCCCTGGATTGTAGGATTAGATTAGGGAAATGGGAGACAGCTTTAGTAGTAAAATGCCTAATTTTATTTTAATGTGCTAAGTTAATATTATATTTTATATACATACACTTTTGTGCTATACAAAAATTTCTAGCGTGAGTAAGGAAAAGGCTGCATTTAAAAAATATGGGTTTATGTTAATAATTGTCTTTCAGGAAAATGAACACAAGAGTGAAACACATCCCCGCAGGCTTTTCAGTAACA